ACAGCTCCTTATTTTGGGAACTGTTTTTTTGTAGCTTTTCTGTACAAAATCATGACAGCAAAGATTAGCACCATCACCTTCCAAGAGACCAGAATTTCATTTCCCTGAAAGAGCTCAGAACATGATAGGCAAGATGTCAGAAATTGTTGGTTGAATGATAGTTCATCCTAGAATGAATTTTTTTTCCAGGCACAATAAAGCTTATCTGCAATGGTGCCTATTAAGATTTCTGTAAGTAAATAATCTGAAAATCTAATTGCTACTGACATCCAGAGAAGACAGATGCATTCCTGAACACTATGCAGCCTCAGTGTTTTATAAGCAACTGACACAAGCCAGTGGTTTCATCTTGACACGGTTATCAATGCACCAAGTCTGATGCTTCACCGTTATCAAAATGGGATTGTTCTGTGGGAAAGGTGAAAGAAAACAACAAGAACAGTTGAATCTGGCTGTTTCACATGCAGAACATTGCTTCCAGCTGTGGAGTTCAGAGATTACTCTTTGCCTTGCAAAGAATAGCTGTCTGGTCAGGGTAGTCTTTGATATCTAGCAGCTGGGCAATGTGCTTTCCCCCAGGTCTCACTCTCACAGTTGCTCAGATAGCTGGCTTATGTGATCTGCTACCCTTTTGCAACTTAATGTGTTAAATTCTGTTAAATTCTGAGGTAAGCTAATTGCTCTTGAAATTACAGCTTGATTTCATTGGAGTAAACTAAAATACGCAATTTATAATCAATCTCTCCTCTTGGTGAGAAAATGCTATAAAGGACAGGCTGGATCGATGGGCCGAGATCAACTGAATGAGGTTTAATAAGGCCAAGTGCCGGGTCCTGCGCTTGGGTCACAACAACCCCCTGCAACGCTACAGGCTTGGGGAGGAGTGGCTGGAGAGCTGCCCGGCGGAAAGGGACCTGGGGGTGCTGGTTGACAGCCGGCTGAACATGAGCCGGCAGTGTGCCCAGGTGGCCAAGGAGGCCAACAGCGTCCTGGCCTGTGTCAGAACCAGTGTGGCCAGCAGGAGCAGGGAAGTGATTGTGCCCCTGTACTCGGCAGTGGTGAGGCCACAATGTCACACAGTGCAAACATCACTGATGTGGCCGGGACAGCCTTAATACAGTTGTTATACATGTAATAACCTAATATTTGGGGTATCTTATCTCATGCCTCTATCAAGAGATGAGAGATGCTTTTTAAAAAGTGTGGGTGCTTTGCTGAATGGGAATGAATGTATGCACTTAAACAAGTGTTCAAGTTATTGATGAATTGCATTCTTAAGTGTCAATTTTTAGAAAAGTAACTAAAGGAATGAAGTCTCTGTCTCTTTACCACACATCCTACACTGGGGAGTTTCCCAGCCTTCCAGTGTTACCTAGCTGACAGCTGCTTTAAGATGCAGCTATCATCATACCTGCACATATTGTAGCTGTTACCGTAAGTAGGTCTAAAAATTTTGTTTTCCATCAAGAACAGTCAGGCTTATGGTACAGATTCTAACAAATGTTACAGAAAAATAAAATGTCAAGAAATAAAAATATGGAGATGTAGAAATGCTTTTTTTTAAAAACAACAAACCTTAAAATTTATTAAAGCATTTGAAGAGTATCAAATGGTATCAAATTCAGGTATATCTATTAGGGCTTCTACTAAAGAATAAACTAAAGTCCTTTTATACGACATAGATTTTTTTTTTTTTATACTGTAAATTTTGCATCACTGAGCATGTCTTATTAAACAAAATATATTTTCTTGGATCGTGCTTGATTATTGTGTGTGTCGAATGTCTGTGTACATTTCTCTCCAGCTTCCTCAGAAGTCATGAATGTCTGGCTGGGATTAATGGCAGTGTTCATTAGTGAGGTTCATATCTCTTCTGGGAATCAGTTTCTAGGTGTATATTAGAACAGCTCTTCGGTTTTGTGTTAGATGTAATATAGGAAATGTAATTAAGAGAATGATGACTTAGGTGCAGACTAGTCCTTTTAAATAGGTAGGTGCAGTGAAAGGAATGGGAAATTGATTGGGCTTTCATTATCACTTTATTATTTTTCTTTGGAAAAAAAGATAATATTGATAAATAAATATAAATAAATTTATTTCTATATTAGAACTATTATATATTATTTGTTCACATATTATGTGTCTTATTTATGTTTATTTATTATAATTTTTTATTATATATTAATTCATTTAGAACTTTCCAACAAGTTTATTGCATTGTTGGTAGTACTTTTTACCAGCAAAGACTTGTTCTATTTCTAATATATCAAAAATATATACCAACTGTTTTTTTAACCTACATATGAAAACCATGTCTGGGCTTACTCTGTTTTTCCCACTGCTTTCCATGTAAATCCTGGTTTCTTAAATTTGTGTTGGTTTATGAGGAATTTTGTCTGGGTTTAGTTTGTGACTTATAACTCCATTTGTTTCTGGCTGGTATATTGCAGAGTTCTAATGCCAGTTTGTCAGTTGTTACAGATCTTCTCCTTGAGACTTTCTGCTACTTTTTTTTTTTTTTTAGTTACTTACACATGCCAGCTATGGATCTTAGTCATTCCTTCCTGAACTTTGTCTTGTTCTAAGAACTGAGATTTTTGAGTTTGAAAGCATAATATTTGCGCTATTGACTTGTGTGGAAATAGTCAAGATGTCATGATGTAAGTGCGTGCACAAGCTACCTGTTGGTTTTAATTTAGTAGATAGATTCTACACAACAGTGCCTGGCTATTCTTTTTTGAAAATCAAATGTTATCATGCAACTCTTTTAGCATGATTTTGGATTGTGTAGTGTGGTTATATGCAAAAAAACATACAAGAAATACTTCTAAGAGTTGCGTGTTAGTTATGTGTAAATTAAAGTAGTTCTTCCAAATCTGCTCAAATTTCACTGATGAGAGTTTATTGTCCTCAGCCAGTACACAGTCAGATTAGTCTTCCCAAGGAACGAGGTCAGGCTGTCATACCAAATAAAGAATACACCAGAGGAGAAGTTTGGCAGCTCAGTAGACATTTACTTCTGCGATGTGTAGGTACTAAAACTTTCATTCCTTGGCCTTGGGACAGGGTTCCATCTGCTGGAGTTACTGTTGCGTGAGAGCAAGCAGCCCTTTGTTTCGACAATGCACTGATTGGAGCAGATGCTTTCCGAGAATTATTTTGTAAGCCCTCCCTGAACATACCTGTATTAAAACTCAGGGGTTCAAACACCTCTTAATGCCAGATTTGCTCGGTTAGTTGTTACTTGTTAAAAGCCAGATGTGAGAAACTCTTACCAACATCAGTTTGATTATCTATGATCTTTATCGCTTGTCTGATCTGCGTTACGGAGTTTGTAACTCCATATATTATACATACATGAATAGGGAAGTATTTTTACGCTTTGACAACAGAGAATAAAATCAGAGAATAGTTTGCCTGACCTGCTTCTAGGACTCTTTGTAGTGTGTCATGGAAAAAAATTAAAAACTGAAAAGTGTTTCACCCTGTTTTCCATCTCGACACCCATCCGCTTTGGCGCCCTTTCATGTTAACTGGCTCTTCCCAAAGCAGAGGGTACAGAAATACAATCTGTAGCTTGTTACAGGGTTTGGGCTGGAAATCTGTAGAAGCTGTTGCAAATCTTCATCTAATGCAGGAGGTGAATGGCCACTTCTCTTTACTGCAGTTGCAAGAGGAAATGCTTAATAGTAACGGCTACGTGTGATGGGGACCCTTCTGTTTAAGTACTCAGTACAGCCCGTAGCACATACGCTTCAGAGCATACCGTATACTGTTGTTTCTTCCTGCAGGTACCTTTGTTGCCGTTTTGTGCCTGCGTGTTTTGCTTGTTATCCCTGCTCTTGTAGCAGAAGTTAACTGAATAGCATTACCAAAGCAGCGCTGCCATTATTGCTGTGATTATTTCCAGTTAAATTGTTTTTAAAAAGCAGTTGCATCAATTTTAATTCTGTTCTAAAGAACGTAATTAATTCAATGTGGGGGTGAAAGATGGGACTAAGCGCTTCTCAGTTTTGGAAGGGCCAGAAAAGAAGCTGCTGGGGCTGGGAGTTACTGATTGTAACTTGTAAATTTAGACTTGCAGAATCTTGTGGCTAATTTTTGAACTAGTCTTTTCCCACGGTAGTAAGGAGGTGACTGAATCAGCCTATGAGTTTGCTACTTCAGGCACTGATTGTTCTTATCAGACCTGACCCTGACTGTGCCTTTGAACAGTGCAGGTACAATGGCTGTCACTTCATCTGTGGTTTTTGTTTGTTTTGTTTTGTTTTTTTACTCTGGAATGATACAGCTTTTTTATCCGTATCTGTAGGAAGAGAGCTGGTAACTTGAGAAAATGCTCAGGAAAAACTCGGCCGTTGCAGCAGAGAATGGTTTAGCACGTGCTGCTCCCATCTACTAATAAAGTTTTCCAGTTTAGGTGTAGAACGGGAGGCAGTGAGTATTTTGTGGCACTTTGTGTTAGCTGTTTTAGCTTTTTTTTTTTTTTTTAACAAAGACATTACTGTTAGCTGCATTTTTTTCAGCAGAGCCATTACAAGGTTTTTCTGTTCTGTGGGATGAATCACAAGCTTCATGTGTATGAGCGTACTGTCAAGATTGCTTTCAACGGCTAAGAGTATCCCCTTATATCTGGCAAGCGGATTTGCCTTTTTTTTTTTCTTACTGAACAAATAAATTTGTGTGTTTTGTAAGACTGGTTATAAATGTTTAGCTTAAGACTTGAACCTGTTTAAGTTTTTCCTTAATGTATGGAGTAATTTGTATATCCAAAGCATTTATTGCTGGGAATTTGAAGACTCGCTGTTTTTTCCAATAGAAAAGAATTTGTAGATGCATTACTGTTATTATTGTACCATATTTTAGGACACTAAAAAGGCAATTTTTAACACCATTAGCATTTTAAAGTTCTTCCTTCTATCCTTTTTCAGGACAGTAGCAGCACTATTATCTCAATGCTATTTAGTAATCTTCAATTTAATTTCTTTTAACTTTTTAAGACAACATCTGGGGAGGATGTACGAGACTTCACGAAGGTGCTGAAGAACAAATTCCGGTCAAAGAAGTATTTTGCAAAGCATCCCCGACTTGGCTACCTACCTGTGCAAACAGTATTGGAGGGTGACAACCTGGAGACGTAAGCTTGATTACAGACTAATTGCTCCTGTGGTGGTCACTGGCCTATTCCATTAAAAACAAAAAAATGAAACCCAAGAAATAATCAACAGTAGTTGTAGAGCCTTGTGCTGTATTATTTTCTATTAATTATTTCACATTATTTGCAGATCTTGCCCGTTTTTTAAAAAGTAACGTATTTTATACTTTGATTTATGTAAGCATTTTATCATAAAGCCATGGACTTCAGCAGGTAAGGGGGGCTGGGGACGAATGACTGATTTAACAGAGAACATTCTATAAAAGTATATCTCTTCAGGGAGACTGGGCTTTTGGAACTGCAGTGCTTATTTGGTTATCTCAAATGTCCCTGGAGTTAGAAATCTCTGAGCTAATTAGGTTCCTACAGGCTCCAGAAATATAGGTGGCCTAATAAAAGAGAGCACTCTCAGTGTCTCCACAATATTACTTACAGTGCTGGCAGAAATACTCCACTTTATTTACTTGCTAGTTGTCAGCAAAGGACACTCTTAAGTAAAATTAAGATGTGTTGAGAGGGCACTAGAAGTAGTTTCGTGGATTGACTCTCCTTGACGTCCTGGAGTCTGCGGTACTACTGTATCGTCCGAACCCAGCACCACTTAGCAGCAGCAGCAAACGTGAAGCTTCAGCATCTATACTCTGCTTGCATGCAACAGCCCAGTGACATTGTCCACGCTTTGTTTTCATGACCGGAGGACTGTGCATTTTATTTACAATAAATAAACAAAACCTGCTCATTAGCGTTTTAAGGAACAGGAGGAAGTAATCTGAAAACTGGCATTATTGATGGCCTGGCTTCTAAGGAAGCAATACACATTCAGATGTAAAGTGTTACTCATCAAGGCAGCCTTCAACTGGTGTGTATGTAAAAAAAAAAAAAAAAGTCACCAACACAGGAAAGCAAGGCTGCTTTGATGTGATGAAATTTTGAGAATGGTGCCAGAAATTGGAATGTCAGAAGTGTGATGACAGGTCAGGATAAAATTCTCTTGGTCCAGTCATGTGGGGCATATATACAGATAAAATGCCATCATCATGCTGAGGAAACTGTTGGTATTGGTTCTTTTCCCTGCAGGTGACAAACCTCAGTAACATGTTCCTTTAAATAAAAGAAATTTAAAAATAAAAAAATCCTAAATAGTTACCCAAGTGTCAGAATGTAATACAATATGTATTTACCTCTGATTATTTTTATGCAATAGGAATATAAGCATTGATAACTTTGATTTATGGTGGGTTTTTTGTTGTCAGTGGTGTTTTTTTTAATAGAATCACAAGATGATTTGGGTTAGAAGGGACCTTAAAGATCATCTAGTTCCAACCCCCCTGCCATGGGCAGGGACACCTTCCCGTGTTGCTCAAAGCCCCACCCTGGCCTTGAGCACTGCCGGGAATGGGGCATCCACAGCTTCTCTGGGCAACCTGTTCCAGGGCCTCACCACCCTCATACTGAAGAATACTTTCCTTATATCTAATCTAAATCTACCTTCTTCCAGTTTAAAGCCATTACCCCTTGTCCTATCCCTACATGCCCTTGTAAAAAGTCCCTCTCCAGCTTTCTTGTAGGGCCCCTTCCTGTACGGGAAGGTTGCTGTACTTGAGCAGAATTTAAATGAGCTGATTATGGTTTGCAAACTGCAGTTCAATCAATAATACTGATTTGGTGGGGGTTTTTTTAATTGATTTTTATTTAACAAAATGAAGTATGTAAGTCAGTCTCCTGTCTCTTCATGATACACAGCAGTATCTGTTGCTGTCTCTTTTCTACATCAATTGTCGCTGATTCAAATAATCTGGGTGGATTGCTGGTTAAAATATTTTGTGTTTCTACAGCTTTCTCTTGCTTAAATGGCACTAAAGTTTTTGTTTCATAGTTTCTTTCTTTCTTTCTCTCTTTTTTTCTTTTTTTTTTTTGTCTTCCTTACAGTCCTATCACTCTCATCAGTATGTGGCCAGAGCAGTATGAGTGAGTATGCAGAACCCCTTTGTCTGGAAAGCTTAGTGTGCTGGTTTTCTTTTAGCTCAGTTGCTGCTAATCTGATGTGCATGAGCTATAGGGCATGGCCGACCCAAAGCAATAACCCCCACGGCAATATTGTGAATGTACTTATTTGTCATCAGTCTAACCTACTTTTAAAATAATGTTGTCTATATGATGAATTTCTTTAGACACCACTCATTTTTTAATTGTTTGTTTTTTAAACTAGTCCTTCCCAGTCTCCACAGCTGTTTCACGACGACACACACTCCAGGATAGAGCAGTATGCTACTAGGTAAGAGACACACAGTTTCTCACCAGTACACTGCATTTTGTGATTGATTGCTGCAGATTTTAGTGTACTCTACTGGATGTCATTTATTAGAAAGATATAATTCTCTGTACCCAGAAGGAAGTCAAATGTTTTTAAATCATCAGCTTCTGAATACAGTCATATTAAATGTAAAGGAGATGTATTAAATCTGCCGTCTGCCGTGCAGAATGGAAACTGTTGCAGAATTACTGTCCATTATTTCTAAAATGTGCTGGTTTTCTTTTGTTTCTTCATTTTTTACCTTTGGAAATAAACTGAACTTGTTGGATATATAATTTTTCCCTGTAGGATTTTAGACCTAGGTTTTCATCTTCTTCTATGATAGGTTGACACTATCCATTACCATTGACTTTTAGCAAAGGATATAATAATTACAAATGTTTTGTGTTCTGGATTTTATGGGATCACCCTAGTCCTTTCATGATAAAATGTCTATTCTGCAAAGTCCATCTCAGTGCTTATGTGTTTTGTTGAACTCTCTTCTGTGCATTCAGAGCTGGTGACAGTTAAGTCCTAACCAGAAGTACCCTCTGAAAAACAAGTAACGACACTCAACTTTTAGGCAAAAAAAGAAATTGATCCATATTACCATGAGAACTGACTTCGTTTTGCTTTCAGTGGTTTTATTGTTGTATCTGATCTCCACAACTAATAAACAATGTTAACTTTTATGGCTTTTTGAATAAAAATTCAGAGCTCATGTTTAAGATAACTGAATTCTTTCTTATGGGAACCATAAGAAAGCTTCAAAACAGTTTGTTAAATACCTAGGATACCCAACAGATGATGTTTGCAGCAGGGGAAAAATGGAGAAGAAACTAACCCTGAAGGGCTACCTACTGTCAGCCTCCACATTTCCCCCCCCAACAATGAATATTGTCATCCTTCATAAGTAGCGTTGTACATTGTCAAGGGCAAAGTTGTAGTGCTTTTCATGTAATTCATTTAAATCACCCAATATTCTTTTGAATCTATAACTTAAGCTATGCTGTAACCAATTGAAAGCCATGGATGGGGCTACAAATTAGGCAAGAGGAAAGAAATTAGACTTCTCTAGAAAGATGAGAGAATTTTCTGTCTCCCTATGTTTTTTCTTCAGCCTGTGGTGCCAGAAGGCTGTGGCTTTCTGGGCCCAGATGAAGCAAAACTCTGCACCCCCCTTAAGGATCACGGGAGATCCCAGGTGCAATACCTGTTTTCCCTCTCCTCCCCCTCAGCTCTTACCAGTTCTGCTGTGGATTAGACTTGCTGAAGGAGGATGAAAGTGGACCGTGTATCTCTTTCAAGGATACAAAGCTAAATCTGTACCTGCTCTGTGCAGAAGTTGGTTAACAAAACCACAAGCTTAAAAAATACTAATTACTATATGTTAACTATCTAAAGCTACTCAAGATGTTTTTTCCCCTCTAGTAATAAAATCTAAAAAATGAAGACATAACTCCATCTGTATATTTCATATATGTTATTGTGTGCTTTCTAGTTGGATCTGTTATTATGCATATTTAACATATAAACTAGTAAATTATTTTTGTTGTCTTGACCTTTTCAGCTAAGCTGCTTTGAAGAAATATTACCAGGGCTTCCTTAATAAGACTGTGCCCAGCAGAAACAGTATATTAAGGCTTAAAACCTTTATTGTCACTGATTGAAATACACCTAGCGCTCAGTTTTCTATTAACAAAGTCCCTCCCCTACCTGCAGTCAAGTACCGTCTCCCCGTTCCGCTGTGCTGTGTCACCTCTGAGTTGCTTCTAATTCCCTTTCTCAGCTTTCAGTTTGTATCCTGCCTTGAAGGTTCTTTGCAACTCTGAGAGTGCCTTCCCTGTCTCCCTCTGCTCCATGAGCTGGCTCCACATGCTCTTCCAAGCAAATCCTCACTAAATGATGGAGATTGAAAACGTGATGATCATGGTGGAATCTGTGTTTGTAAGACAGGATAGCTATTACTCACTTACTAAGAGATTCAGGGCAGGCCCTCCTCTCTGAAAAATACCTGTTTTGTATTACTTTCCCATTGACAAAGGGTCTATGAAGATTAATTTTGAAAATTATGTTTCAGCAAAGACTTAAAAATGCTGAGCTAAGCAGCATTACAAAGGTGACTTGTAAGCATCTAACTCACTCCTGTTACTCACCATGAACTAGATCTGGTTGAGATGCCCAGAGCAGAGATGATCTGAATGTCTCTAGTCACTTAGGAGCTTGTCCTTCCCTTCAGGGGAAGTGTTGGAGCACACTGTCCTACCCCAGCCATGGTGAGACAAGATGATCAAGACAACTTCATCCTCTGTGTGCTTTTGTTTATCCTCCTTCAACCCTGAGGAATACTAACAAATATACAGATGGGCAAGCTTGCTCCATGATAGAAGAAGACACCAGAGTTCCCTTTTTTTTAGGGCCTTGCACTCTGCTTTTAAAAAGAAGTTTGAAGATGTCTGTAATAATGCATAACACACTTGCAAAAATATATGTGAAATTAAGATACCGTTATAGTAAAGGGAATAGCTGTTGTTTGGTGCAGTCCAGCGTATTTGCAACAGCATTGAGCATTCCCAGATTTTCACACGTGTCTTATGTAGAGATAAAGTGTATCTCTCCTAGAAAATAGACAGAAAATTTCTGCTGCAATTTTAGAGCAGTATGGCCTTATATGTACAGTATAATAATCCAGTCCATTTAAATGAGAACCACAGGCCATGACTCCCTGTAATTACACTGTTTTTTTGTGTTGTTTTCCAGGACTTGTCTGTCCACAGTGTGATTTTATTTGCCAAGCATAATTTCAAACATTGAATGTGCTATATTTAAACAGTATTCATCCTCTTTTGGTAGTCCAGCTTTATAAAATTCAAAAAGAAAACCATCTGCAAAAACATCTCTTTAACTAATTTTACCATGAGAATTGTGGTGGTGCTAATGATAATTATACTAGAGATAGAAAATATACTTTTTCGTTGTTGCTTGGCAAGTAGAAGTCATTAATCATAGCACAAGTTTCTCATAAAAGGCCTCTGGGTTATAGGTTTCTGTCACAAAATCTAGGACTTTATTCCTATTTCTGTGTACCATGATTGCCATATCTGAGCTGTTTTTAAGTAGAATTGATCTTCACAGTTCCCCTGTTTAAATTGTGCATGTTCTCTGAAAGTCGTGGTCTTTCCCTGCCTTTCAGGCTCGCCCAGATGGAAAGGACCAACGGCTCCTTCCTGACGGACAGTAGCTCCACCACAGGAAGCGTGTAAGTAACTCACACTCGCCAAGGCTGCCAGGAACGTTGGTTATAGCTGCATGGTACAGTCTGTATAAGTTGTAACACGGGATTTAGTGCCAGGGAAAGTAGCTAATAAGTATGACACTAAGGATGCTTGGATAAATTTCATTATTTCAAGCACCAGTTGTAGAAATTGGTGATGTTCACTTGGTAATGTAAGGGAACTCTAAATTTGTCATCCATTCTGCTTCAAAATGGAAGATATTTCTTACAACTGGAAAAAACTCACAACTCCATAGGTTCTAGTTTGTATTCCTTTTCTGCTTTTATCAGATTAGAAAAGAAATCCTTCTATGTCAAAGTGGACAATGGAGTAGGTCGATAGCTTGTGCAAACTCCCAGGACAATTTTCTCATTGAAAAAAAAAAAAAAATCTATATTGAAGTTTCTGCAGAGCCAGAACAGTGTTGCTACTTCTTGCTTAGATTTCAGTTTGGCGACTGCTGATCCATCTGTTTGTACTTGGGGATATAAACACAGTCCCACATTAATTTTATCAGTGCCATTTTCTTTTTCAAATTATCTGTCACTTTTATTGTAAAAGCCTTCATTAAAATGCATTGATGAACCTGGAAAGCATAGAACCCCTTAAATTACTCATTAATTAAATATGATTTTTCTCAGTGTAAAAATACGTGAATGCTTTAACCTCACTGTATCATCAGTTTTGTTCATCAAATCAGTGTAGTAGGACTCTGCCTCTTTTAAGTTATTAATGGATATCATCAGGAAACAGAAATTGTTCTTGTTCAGGTTTAGTTAGGAAATGCATTTTTCACAGTAATATTTTCATTTACTGTTTTAAAATCTAATCATGAAATTATTCTACTTATGAATATACTAACAACTTGCGATTTAAAATGTTTTGCTTCAGAGAAGCACTTACGATCACCTTTAAACGTTTCCTGTTTCTTGCTTAATTAACTCTATTTACATAACTAATAAAACTTTTTTCATATGGAACTGTTTTCATGTTTTTCTGTCATTGGTAGGCTCACCAAGGACAGAAATGCAGCCAAACTATTCCCTTTTGATTTCCCTTCAAGGAAAAAAAAAAGAATGAAAAGAAAAAGAGCAAACATACTGTCACTTGGCAGGGAAAGCTGAAAACTTGAAAGCAGCTAAATGCTCTTATACTTGATAGAGTTGTTTATTTTGCAATTAATGAGTCTACTTATATACAAAGACCAAACAACCTTCCATCCCAACGGTAAAAGGGGGTGTATGTACTTAATTTTTACTGGCAAATTAGCTGTTGATTTTAATGCAATTTCCCTGTTCACCTATAAAAATTACCTTTATTTTAAGAAAAAGGATGAATGTGGTGAACTTCTGTACCAACATGTGAAAAGAACTTCTGAATTTGGGTCTCAGCTCTGTTGTCAAAAGGGGACTGCTAGTCAAACAAAATATCCGGGGATTTAGAGGCCAGGGAGGACAAGAAAGTAACTTTTGTACCGAATGGCACCTTCTGTTTTATTTGCAGATAATAATGCATGCTTTCCTTATGGTACATACTGGAGTACTCACAAAATTCTGAAGAGCTGTGGTTTAAAGTTTGGAGTTAAACTATTACAGGGAGCTACACAGCTATGAAGTTTGGATCCCAGTTTGGATCATAAGTCACCTACAGCTGGAACACTGGGAGTTTAGGCTTGTAGTTCAGCTCTATTCTTATTGTTTAAACACAGTTTGACGTAGAAATTGGTGTGGTGTAATTATTCTTTGTAGACTGAATTTGAAGGAGCAATTTGAAATTTGGATGCATACTTTTTCAGCTCAGATGCCCCTACTGTAAACCTATCTGAGTAAAATCTCATTTTCTTCTGGTATTGTGTCAAACCTTCAGGAGATGATCACTGGTTTGGAAATCAAATTCTCTGCTTCTTGTAATTGGAGTCCTGTTCTGTGATCTTATTTTTATCGGTCCTCAAGAGTCTTTCAGCTTACTGTGAAGCTAGAAGAGAGGCATAGTTGCACTTAATATTGTAAAGTTACTGCTTCGGTCTTGTCAGGTTAACAAGTTCATCAACAATACTTTTAACACTCTTCATGCTCCAAAGAGTATGTGCAAGAGCTCTTCTATATTTGAATGACAAGAAGGGAACTTCTGCCATCAGTTACACATCATGAGTTTCTTTGCAGCAATGTTCTGCAATATGCCATTTGATTAAGAAAACATTTTTCAAAGAAATTTCTTGGGTTTTAACTAGCCTGTTGTCTTGAATGTCATTATGACTTCTCCCTAACTAAGCTTTTCTAACTCTCTGCTCCCCTAAGGATATGTGAATTCCTTTAAAAACCACATTTTCCTCAACTGGAAAAATATTTGTAGATAGCAAAAAAAAAAGTCATAGTCTCTACTGTAGTATGTCCAGCTTCTGAACAAACATTCTAATTCTCTCATGCATGAGTTTTCTGATATAAATACACTGAATACAAATGTTTTTCCTTCATGTTGTCTTCTCCAGATATTAGGGGTTCTAAATATTTAAGCTAGACTGTTGTGATGAATTTTCTTTGGCTTTAATTCATTCAAAAACATCTATATCTTAAAAGCAGACTGGTCCCTCCACAAGTGAAGATGAGCATAAGGGAAAAATGAAGACTGTAACAAAGACTGATAAATAGTGCCCCGAACAGAAAGCTGTGCCTCACAATTTGAGAAATCATTATGTAGGAGAATGAAAAGACAAAAAACATTGTTAGAAAAAATAGGACAAGGATGTTACCCTCTTATTCCTCTAATGAACAAACTATCCTATTAGCCCATACTGAAGTGCACTGGACATAGAATAAATAATTTCTATATAAATGTGAATGTTTAATAGCTGTTTTCTGATTAATGCCTTTACTACCAGTCATCTTCATGTCTTCAGCACTGTTGGTCCCACTTCACACTCAGATGAAGGCAGAGTTGGAACATATCTGAAATTTTATTTATTAGACAGCTGTGCACGCAGGTGCAGGAGTAGGAACACGCAGTGAAGGCCACTCAGTGTGTCATAAGTCAAACTGGAGCTCCGGTATGTAGCACATGAATACTTTCACATGATGTAAGTGGTTAAAAGGCATCTTGTCACAATGAAAATTAGTTCCATGTGATGACAAAATTAGGAGAACAAGAAGTAGGTTAAAGACAGAGCATTTTGGAGTACCTTCTGGAACCTTATTCTAATATTTCTCATAGTGTCAATAGGTCAAGGTTTATTGGATTTGGATTAGAATACATGGCACTCAGTATGAGAGCCACATGAAAAATTAAAATGATCAGTGGAGGAGGATCACATACCCACATCTTACTATCTGAAATCTAATTTAACAAGTAGTTTTCTTTATCAGATAAAATAATACACTGATGACAAGTGACTGTCAGGAAATCTGGATTTTTCTTTCCACAGTGTAGTCTTGATGCAAGGGAAGTTATATGCAACATCATTTGCCTCTTGCTCCTCCATGCATAATGCATGTTTTGGAATAGACCTCTTGAAAATATATATCCAGAAAGAGAATAGGATATTTCAAAGGCCATTTTCCCCGAGTTTTCTTCTTGGGGTGTTCTTTTCCTTTGAGATGCACTACTTTCAAGCCTGACCTCCTGGGATGTCATTTTTACTGCATTCTACTGTGGTGAAATGCTGAAAAGGAACGGCAGTCTCTTGGAAGGACTTTGTGTACTTCTAGCTTTTCTTCAAAACACGCAGGGTCTTCAATAGAATGACCACCAAGAAAGGATGACAAATTTATTTTGATGTTGTGTTTTTATTTTGGTTGCTGATTGCCAGCTCCAACGAATTCTGCAGAAGAGAGTCCCAGATTCTCAAAATAAAGTGTTTGAGAGTGTCTCTCCCTTACATTGTAGGTCACTGTGAAGCCCTGCCCTGGGACTCCTGTGCTATTAATGAATCTGTCTTAATTACAGTCGTGAGGTTTGCTGGTGAAGGTTCAAGGTTCAGGTTTTTTGAACTGGTTATTTTGCAAGACAGACCAGAGGTGGAACGCATGGTACAAACAGACTTTTCCTTCAGAAGACCTCTTTTATCAGGCTCTTCCTCCAGCGTGTGAAAAAGCCTGCTGTCAGCTGCAAGGTGTGATCTGTAAAAAAAGGTAGCTCAATATTCACAGTCTGTCCTGAGCAGAGACTGAGACTCTGAAGCAGTGAGAGAGGAGGGAAATGAACTTTTCTCTGGACTCAATAACTGGGAGTCCAAACTATAAAATTACCTGGAATCCTTCTTGAACAATTTGTATTTAGCTGTGTTAATCTCATCTACTGGACCACAAAACGGACAAAAGCATCTAAGCATTTACTGAGTAAACTCTTTCTTTAATTGGTTTATAAGTTTCATTAAAAAAAGAGGTTACACCTAATGTAAAGTCTTGACAGAGTTTCAGATTTAATAAATTCAAATAACTATAATAAATCCATCTTTACAGAGCCCTATTTAAAAAAAATCCATTTCAGATGACCTGCATAGTTGTTTATAAACTAATTCATCATCTTAAAATGTAGACAGCAGCTTTTTGATGCCTAATTAGAATAACCAGATTAAAATACTTGATTGTGTGAACTTTTCCTGACAACACCAACACCCCTGCACAAAAGAAGGCTGTATGTGTAGTTACACTGTATCATTTAAATTAATATGTCAACGGTGTTTTGAAACCTGGATGATAAAGGTGTGTTCTTTCTCTAGTCTGCTTTAACACTCCGTTTCTGTGCGCGCTGAAGACGTGACGTTGCATCGCCAGCGCTCCCCGGCTTAGTGCAGCCGCTTCGGTCGCAGGGAGGGGATTCCGCACGTTTTGCAGGGCTGTAGGAGCCCTGCTATATCCTGCAGAGTTTGAAGCCCAAAAGGGGTTACATCACTTTGGCAAAAATTTAGTTATAAGGGGTGGGGGTTTTTTATCGAGATGGTTAAAGGGTTGAGAAGAACCGTGAGGTTTTCATTATCATATCAGGACCTGATCCAAACTTCGTTAACTGCACTAACATTTACTTTAGTTTTAACTAAACTAATGCAAAATAACAAAGGAAGTGATGATGGGTGTCCCTGAGATCACCTAAGTAGTGAAGCAGAGAAAGGAGTTAAGAGGCTTTCTTCTGTAGGTAAGGAAAAAAACTGAGCACTGTTCTGTTTCTTTTTCAGCTAATACTGTCAGATATCCCCTATATTTTTGAGGGACTTAAATGCACATGCAATCCCAATTATATTTTAATTATATAGCTGTATTGAATGAAAAAATTATTATATTTATTCAGTTGCATGGGAAGATCAATATTGTAATTTCTGCTCATAAGTATAGTACTGACTACAGCCAAGACAGACAGGAAAGAAGTGGATGTATATTATTTTCTTTAAACTTTTGACTCATTGTTAAAAGCAGAAGAACTTACTAATTAGGTTCCTTTTTCAATTTTATGTATACACTTTCTGCAGACCAGCAGTTAATCACAAAAGATAGGCCGAAGGAAAGTGAGACACAACCAGAAGGAAAGTGAGACGCAACCAGAGCTCTGTGGAAGGATGTTTTCATACCTGACTGTTTTTAACCTTTATATCATAAATGAACTTAGGTGGAACTTTTAAAGTGGATTGAACTGTTGTCACAGGCTATACATTTTTTGGGGGTTGCGTTGGGGTTTTTATGGATACTGTTGCTTGATGCGCATTTGTTTGTGATAGTCTAGATTTTCAAATCTTACTGACAAGTTGGAAAATGGAAGACCACGTGATAGCTTTCGTAGATAGTGAATAGTTATCCTTGAGCGGAAATAGTTCCGTGTTGTTCTACCAAAGAATTGGTATTCAGGAGAAAGGTTGTCCTAAGCAGTACTACAAGAACCAGATCACTTTGCTGCATGATAGAAGTGCTTTTCTAGGAGACTCACACCAAGAATCAGTTTTTTTTAAATCTGTGGTTATTTTGGCTCACTCCTAATACTGGTGATGCTTTTAAATGGGTATTGATGTTTTGAGCTACCAAAAAATCTTGGTTCAGCA